TAACCTCTAATTGATCAGAATTATATAATTTCTATTAAGGATTAATATTTAAAAGAGAAGTTATATTACAGTGATGTTAATTAGCGTGTTTGTCCAAAGGTAACCGCTAGTTGACTCAAGTTTGTATAATCTCTATCAAGGATTAATATATAAAAGGGAAATTATAATTAAAGTAAGGTTAATTAGCGTGTTTGTCCAAAGATAACCGCTAATTAATCACAAGACCCTATAATTTCTGTTAAAGATCTTTCCTCTTAGGCATCAATCAAGTATATTATATATTTAAGTATTTGCCCAAAGGTATATTTAAATATATGATTTAAAAGATTTCTGAATCCATTAATTTTCTCTCAAAGCTTAATTAAATAGCATGTATTAAAGTTTGCAGTGTTTAAATTTAATTTTTCCGTCAAGTATTATTATTGAAAAAAAAATCAATGGGTTGAACTTCAATTAATGGTTTGAGCATATACATTTTCAATTAGGTGCACTGAATTTGAATATACTCTAATTACTGATGAAGTGCCCACAACCATTATTGGTGAGAGCTCCGAAGTAGAGGTAACTCTTCGTAGGGTATGTGAGCGATCAAATAGGTTGTGTTTGAATTTTATGAAATTAATCGTGACGGATAACATTAAGGCTAATAATTCAATAAAATTCCTAAATAAAAAATCCAGGAACTATCTTCATTTAAAGTTACGAAAAAAAGTCTATTGTGGAAAGTTTCATGATCGAACTCACCACTATAAAAGTTCAACTAATTCCGTTCCATTCATGGTATCGTGTCTAACATGTTCAACATATAAGCTAAACTTGCAAACATGAGAATGAATGTGATAGACTCATTTATGGTTTTATTCATCATGAACTCCCTACCTGTCGAGTTTGGCCAATCCTAGGTGAACTATAACACCATTAAAGATAAAATGGGACTATAAGGAAATTAAGGCTATGGTGGTGCAGGAAGAGGTGAGAATAAAAGAGATGAAACAAGAGTCGATACACTTTATATCTCATGTAAGAGCCAATAATAGTAAGATGAAATGGGAAACAAAGGCAAATAAAAGAAGATTGACTTACTTAATTAAAGTTTTTGCAGGTCCAATCATTAAAGAAATGAGGTGTTACTCCTGTAAAAAGTTAGGCCACCTCATAAAAGATTGCCCAAAATAAAATATTGATTCGAAAAGAAAGAGATACATTAAGTTTTGTATGTTGTGAATCATATTTATTAAAGATTCCCAATGATACTTGGTGGCTTGGTTATGTGCAACTACTTATGTATCTCATATTTAATTTTGGGTTAAACGTAGTGCACATAATGAATACTATACTCTCTTATGGCATTAAAGATTATGGTCACATATCCGAAGAAAGGTTTGAGAATGGTGAATAATGAAACCATTTCTCATTTGGTTTTTAGTGATCAAGATGTATGTGTAGGATGAATTAAAGAAACGCAAACTAGACATACATTAAAGAGATTTGCCAAGAGAAGCACTAAAACTTATTTTTACTAATTTTCTTGTGGTCTATTAGACGTCCCTTTATGGGGTTTTGTAAAGTATTTAATCACCATTACAAATGATTTCTCACGTTATGGTTATTTATCTACTACATGAAACGACTCAATCATTGGACTATCCAAAGATATACATTGATGAGATGAAAAGGTAGTTAGATAAATAAATAAAAGTTGTGAGATCTCACTAGATTGGTGAATATTATTGTAAGTTCAATGAAAGAGGATAATATCCTAGTCCATTTGTAAAGATTCTTGAGATTTGAAATATTTGTGTGCAATACACTATAATTGAGGCTTCTCAACATAATGGTGTTGCTGAGAGGATAAACCGTACTTAATAGGATATGGTTAGGAGTATGTTCAGTAATTCAACATTAACATTTTCTATGTGGATGCATGTGTTAAAGATTGCTGCATATTGGGTAAATTGGGTTTCTATTAAAGTAGTTCCTAAAATACCTTATGAACTACGGAAGGGTAGGAAGCCTAGTTTGAAGCATCTTCATATTTGGAGGTGTCAAGCAGAAGTAAAAGTACATAATCCAAATGAAAAGAAACTTAATCCTAGAACAACCAGTGGTTATTCATTGGCTATCCGGAAGGTTCTAAAGGATATAAGTTTTATGGCCCTAACCATAGTACGAGAATAGTTGATTGCGAAAATACTCGATTCATTGAAAATTATCAAATCAGTGGGAGTTTGGAACCGCAAAGTTTGGATGTCAAAGAAACTCGGGTTGAATAGTCCAAACCTGAGAGTCCATTAATGGTTGTTATTCTTCTAGTTACATTACTGTCATATAACTTAGATGAATAACAAAATGATCCAAAGTCACTTGATAATGAATCATCACAAGCAATCAGAATTATAGAACAACCTTTGGTTGATGAATCTCAAGCCATTAAATGTAAAAATTCTGGAAAAGTTTATCAATGCCATGAAAGAATACTTACAGTCAATGGATGACGATAAAGTTTAGAATTTAGTAGATTTACCTTAAGGGTCTAAAAGAGTTGTGTGTAAATGGGATTTTCGAAACCAAACATGACTCTAAAGGTAATATCGAAAGGTATAAATCTAGACTTCAATGTTACATCCAAAAGGAAGGCATTGACTACAAGGAAACATTCTCTCTCATTTTTAAGAATGATTCCTTGAGAATTGTAATGGTGATAGTGGCTCTGTATGATGTTGAGCTTTATCAAATGGACATAAAGATCACCTTCTAAATGATAAACTTAAAAGGAGATCTACATGAACTAATTAAAAGTTTTTGAGATCACAAGAATGAAATGTTAGTGTGTAAGTTGAATAGATCGATATATTGACTAAAACAAGTCTCTCGTCAATGGTATCTTAAGTTTAATGATATCATCACTGCTTATGGTTTTATAGAGAATACCGTAGACTGGTGTATCTATATTAAGGTCAGTGGGAGTAGATTTGTTATTTTAGTTCCGTATGTCAATGACATATTTATAGTTGCTAATAATGTGGACATGTTGCACGAAGTAAAGTATTATCTCTTTGAAAATTATGAAATAAAGGATGTGGATGAAACGTCCTTGGTGTATAGAATAATAATATTCTGGAATAGATCACTAGGACTAATAGTTCATCCCGTAAAAGTTTTATTTGAGAGGTAATGGATGGTTGTTCCGTATAATTCCAATTCATAAAAGGGACATATTTAGTTTAAATAAATGTCCGAAGGCAAAATGGAATGAAAAGTGATGGAGAAAATTCCTTAGATATAAATGATTAGGAGTCTTAAGCGAGACGAACCTGTATTTGGTTTGATTACATATTTGTTGTTGGTAAGTTAAGCAAATATAAAAGTAATCCCTGAAGGATTATTTAAATGCTGCAAAAGAAATTTTAAAGTATTTACAAGGCATTAAAGAACACATGCTAACTTAAAGAATATCCAAATTATTTGTTATAATTGGATACTCGGATTTAGACTTTTGCTCATAATGTCTAAAGGAGCAAGATTATGAAAAAGTGGAACAAAGTCCATCATCGTGACTTCCACGATTAAGTTTGAGTTTGTGGTATGCTTTGAGGCCACACTTCAAAATTTAGGGCTACGATGCTTTATCTTAGGACTTGGAAATGTCGACATCTTGTCCAAGCCGCTAAGAATTATTGTAGTTTCGTAGCAATAATATTTCAAGGAATGACAAGTATTCAAAGGGTGTGAATCACATAAAATTGAAATACTTGGTCGCAAAATATAAGTGAAGAATCAAAGTGTCATTTGAGTATTTTAGTACTAATTTCATGAAAGTGGATCCATTAAAGGGTTATTCCCTGTAGCCTTTGCAAGGCATATAAAGAAAATTGGGATTAACGAATGGGGCCTTGTTGGACTGACCAATACTGAATGAAATTGCTCAATTATTGATTTGATACTTATTGAATTCAATAAAAGATGTTTGATTCTTCACATATAATACCATCATTATGGATATTCGATTTTATAGTATATACATAAAAGTTGGATGGCTTATGGTTATGGGACGAAAGGCTTGTTCCATATTAAAGTAAAGTTGAATTAGAAATGATTTGTAGTACATGGAGGGATCATGTCGCTCGAAGATGTGTGACCGCCATGACTCGGTTAATTTCTAGTTTGATTTTTAACTTATAGATATATGTATTCAATTATAAGTTTGATGAAAGGTGCGCGCTTAAAGTAGTTCTTTGGGTTTCAACACTTATATGGTCCAAGTGGGAGAATGTAATAATATTTTATATATTATTCAATTATTGTGGACCATATAATTAGTTGGACCTAATTGAATTAATAGTCAAACTTTATTAAAGATGAATATGTATTTAATAGATTATTTAATGTTCTAATATTAAAGAGTCCAATGTGTGATGTTTAACTTGGACATTAAGTTACCTTAGAACATGGGGAATGGTAGTATGATTAGGATTCTAAGTCTCCTCCTATATATACTACATACCCCTCTCTCCCATCTCATACGAAATAAAGTTCTCAACATCAAGGGCTTTATGGAAAGACGAGAGACGTGAGAGAGAGAAACAATTCATAGGGAAAGACAAATCCATCATTGGAGATTGGAGGAAGAGGATTGGAGATTGGAGAAAGATCAACATCATAGATGAACAGGGAAGGACTATAGCTGGGTTCTTGTAAGTTTTATGCGCAATTTAATTTATGCAAAGATCCATGTTCTATGAATTGATAGAATTACATGCTTAGGGTTTATTCAATTCCGCCTAATAGTTATGGATATACCCGTTAAATTTCTTACAGCATCATCTTCGCCTTCACAATACACGCCTTTGCTTCATGATGACTCGCAAGAACAGAAAGAATGGTCAAAGCCTCGTCAACCATGCATCCCCCCCGAGGAGTCTGTAGTAAGCATCTTTACAAGCCCGTTTATAATCCCAGCTCGAATGGCCCTCCCTTTATTCCCATGATAAATACACAAATTAAATAAAGTTGTTGCCTCGATCTTTTTTCCCTCTGGAGCTCCTGTTCTCTAACAAATCCACCAAAGCAAATATAGCCCCTGAGGCCCCGATTATTATTTTATTCTCGTCAACTAACGACAAACTAAAGAGTGTGGCGGTCGCATTTTCGTGGGCCTCGTTGCTTCCTGATCTAAGAAGCTGCACTATTGAGGGTATCGCATTTGAAAGCATGATTAATCCCTTGTTGTTTTCGTAAATCGAGAGGTTGAGAAGGCACGTGACGGCATTATCTTGAATCCGGGCATCTTCAGAGGTTAATAGATTGACAAGAATGGGAATGGCTCCGGCCTCGGTAAGAAGGATTCGGTTTTCTGTGCTTCTTTTGGAAAGTGATCGGATTTCGGAGAGGGCAGCCTTGCATTCTCCTGTCGAGAGTCGGCGAACGAGGGTTTGGAAGGCGGATAGCGAGTGGTGTCGGGTGGTAGCGAGTGGGGTCGAGAGGTTGACCTTGTGCTTGAGGCACCATTGGGAGATGAGGCTTCTGAGGACGTAGTTTGGAGTGAGAGTGGGGTGACGAAGCTTCTGCTGGGTTTTCGGGCATGTGGTTTTCCCACAGTCGATCCACCATTGTATGTACGATCTTTCATACGTCTAAATGAGAGACAATTAAAATAGCATAAATTGTAAATAAAATGTCAAATGAAAGTAGTTTCTATGGTATTCATATAAAAATGACTAATTCGGCTTTTGTTTCACATAAGGGGTGTTAAAGAAAAAAGAACGTATTAGAATATCACTTGTGAGTTGTCCCACATCGTTTATATAGAGAAATAACGCCTAACTTATAAGCCTAATGTGCTACAGAAACATTCTTGTAATCTTCTGTGAGAGGGTTTGCAAATGCTTAAAAACAAAGAAAAGCCTAACTTTTAATTTTAACGTTCAATTGCCAACTTCTGCTTCTAATTTCTTATGAATCAAGAATTTAAAATAAGGACAATGGATGCTTTAGATTTTGGACTTCTACTTCAGGTTCAATTTTTAAACACTAATTATAAGAACTTTCAATATTTCGACAGCAAACAGTCCCTTTTATTGTATTCAACAATTGACTTCCATCTACAAACACTGTCATCTTCTGATTATGAACAATTTTTTTTACTTAAATAACTTCTCCAAAAGCTAAATCTTTCGAAGAGCTTTGGACGAAACAAGTAAAATCCTTTAAACCCTTACCTGTCCTGTAGCCACAATCACTGGATCCCTCATGAGCTCGAGGGATATTGGGCAACGAAAATCATCCGGGAGCACGAGAGAATCAGACTTCTTGTTCTCCTCTACGTTTTTGCACGACAAACCATTATTCCCCGTACTTACAGAATCCTTCAGTACACAAACATCATATGAGGCGGACGAGTCCCTTACAACATTTTCTTTGTTCTCACAAACTTCATCCAAAACATTGTTCACCAATGCAAGACCTTCCAGTCTCGTGTTCACCTCATGATCAATATTGCTGATATTATCCACATGTAAGCTTTTGATCAACCTGCTGCTCGGGTGAAACGGGTCGATATCTTTATCCAATGGCTGGGACGATGCTCTCTGTAGTAAGGTTGAGGAGTTTAGGGACCCACCGTATTTTTCAGTGGCCCGTCTCAACTGTGATGTCACTTAATCAACCTGGCGAAGAAGGGTTTTATGAGACTCAATTCGAGTCCGGTCCAGATAATAGACTATAAACATGATTGTTATAAGTAATCAACGAACCTGCTCTTTTACTTCTTCGGATATATCAAAATCGTTATAAGGTAAATTAGCCAGTGCTTTCTCCAACTTCCATGTCACGCATTGAAATCGGAACATAATTTTCTTCGTCGCACCATCCTTGAGATATTAAAAATTGAAAGAAAAACAATACTTGTGAGGATATAGTTCTAGATGAACTGCATCAATTATGGTAAATAAAAACATAAACTTGATTTTATTCTTCACAAAGTCAAAAACAATTCTTCAAAATTTCACATTCTTCAAAAACACACAAAAACAATTTATTTAACTTCATTTGCAGAGCTCAATCAAGCAACTAAGAATACATGTCAGAAGATCAAAACCAAGGTAAGAAACACCAGCCAACTAACAAATTGATACATATAAACGATCTTTATCAGAATGTCTCACGAATCAACACTGTCCCCCTTATCCATATCGTGTAAGAATCAACCAATCTACAGAAAATAATAACAGCTACAAGCTCAATCATCGTAAATCTTAAGAAGAAAATAATAATCAAAATAAATAACTCTGCAACGCAATTGAAAACCCAACTTACAAAAGAAAGCTTGGAGCTATCAAAATCGTTAGCGGCAAAGACGAGTCTTTTCGCGGCCAGAAGAGACAAAATCAGATCGGAGAAGCAAGAAATGGGGAAAGAGGACGAGCCCACTTCACATTTTTCTCGACTTTTCTTCGTGTCCCTAATCTCTTCAAGTAAATGTGTTACGAGCGATACCCTTCTCAACGACGTCGCGTACGAGGCGGAGGGCCTCCGTGGTATCCTCACCGGCAGCCATTGGAGTGGAAACAGCGATGGTGAAGGTAGTTTGGTCTGTGCAGTTCCTTGCAATTACAACGCGGTCGACAAAGTGGGAGTGGGTTCATCATGCTTGGCATTATACAGTTGGCAAATGCTCTATTAATTGTGGTGAACTTTGCATAGATGGAAATTTTGTGGTCATCTATATATATATAATTGCTGGTATGTAGCATTTAATAAAATATTTAATAAAATCTCTAAAATTTTTCCTCCATTTTCGGTTACAAAATTTGTCATTAATATTTTTTACTTCTCACATTAATACATCTTAATGAGCGTAATTATATATATTTCTAAATTATATAATAGTTATTATATTGCTAATACCAATTAATAATAATTCACAATAAATATAAATTACATAATTATAAACAATTGTATCAAGTTATGTATTTTAACATCAATATTATCTTTTTCTTTTGTATCTCATAAAAAGTTTTCTTTAAAAACAATTAGTAAATAATTTTAATAGCATAGTTAAACAACTTTAGAATCTTATAAATAATTATTTTTTTAATAATATATTATATATATATAATTGCTAGCTTAGCATTTAATTTTACCTATTTAATACAACTTCTAAAATTTTCCCTCTATTTTTAGTTACAAAATTTATCTTTAATATTTTTTTACTTCTCACATTAACACATCCTATTAAGTGTAATCATGTATTTTTCTATTATATTATATAATAATTCACAATAAATATAAATTATATAATTATAAACAATTTTTTCAAGTTATTTATATTAACATCAATATTATATTTTTCTTTTGTAACTCATGAAAAAATTTCTTTAAAAACAATTAGTAAATTGTTTTAATAGCATAGTCAAACAACTTTAGAAGCTTATAAACAATTGTCTTTTTAATAATAATAATAATAATAATAATAATAATAATAATAATAATAATAATCAATCAGTTATTATCTATTGATAATAAACAATTGTTCCTAATAATAAAATCGTTAATTTATTTTTCCAAATGATCAAATTTTTGAAAATGTAATATATTCATTATCTAGAATTTTAATATTAAATTCTCAAATATTACTTATTAATATTTTATGTACATCTGTGCATGTGCACAAGATATTCTACTAGTATGATACATCCTTGGTGTATAGCAATTATGACCATTATTAAGGGAATCGCTATTCAACTCCCCTTATTACGATGCACCACCCTCATTTGGACGATTTTGCCTCTCTCATTTTTTTTAAAAAAATTTAAAAAATTGTAAAATCATCTGGACCAAGCGATTTCTGGCCAAAAAAATGTCTTCGAACGATGTACGTCAGTCCGGACGAAAATTGCGGGCGAACATGGTGTTGTCCGACTGGTAATTGCGGACATGCATGGTGTTGTCCGACCAGTCTTTCCGAACATGCCCATGCACGCCCGCCTTTGGAGACTCTACGCGACCATGCGCGTCCTAAAAGGCCGGCAGGACGGCGCCAGTGTTGTCCGCAATCACCGGCCGGACAGTACCTCCTTCGTCCAGTTTGGCCGGTCGGACAAATGTTTTTTTTAATTGTTTTTATTAGTTTTTTATTACTTTTTTGTGAAAAAAAATTAGAAATTTGATTATTTAATTTCTAAATGTTATATTATAATTAATTATGTTATAAATTAGAATTAGATATTAATACAAGTGTAAGCGTCCTGGTCCGGTTTGAACGGATAGATCTTGGTCCTCGTCGGTAGAACGCCGGAAACCTGCAAATAACTCTCACACCGGGGGTTGTATCCGGTGAAGAGCCTCCGATGCTTAAGTCAGTATGTGTATGAGCGTACTGAAGTGAAGTATGGAAAATAGAATGTGTTAAGGGAGAAAGGCTCACCCCCTTTATATAAGGGTGAAATACCTGCCCTAAGAGCTGCCCGGATGAGGTGAGCTGGCTGCCCAAGCTGCCCGTCCGTACTCTGACACGCCGCGCGCATGTCAGGGGTGGCGCAGGACGTTGGGGGTTGTCAAAGGTGGTTATCACCATCACCCAATACATTGTCGACACGTGTTCCCCCAGCACATGGGGTAAATATTCTCTGGAGATTTCAGTTAGAGGCTCTTACGTGCGCCTACGGTACACGCGCCCACAACTAGGTCGACTGTGGGTTCCTCGAAGCGATCGACCTGCCGAGGTCGAGTAGTTTGCTCGATCATGCGTCTGGTCGATGCGTCTTGTCGATTATCTGAATATTCGGTCTTCCCGCCCTTTTGGTTTAGTTTCCCCTTGGTTTAGCCTTCTCGACCGGGCCAGTAGGCCGGTTTATTCTTGAGTATATAATATCCCATATCATCTAGTCCCCCCCACTCTGGTCGAGTCTGGACGACTCGATCTAAGAGTGAATTGGTATTTATCGACCTCCTCGATGATTCGTCATTCAATATCGATCAGATAATAGGTTTCCCGCCCACATTTTCAAATAATTTCCCATTAATTGCCAGAAGTAAAGTCGTCTGTTTCAAGTCCTTCCTGTCGGGCCTGCTTTTCTGCCACGCGTCACGCCTGGTGCATGTGTCAGGTGCCTGCTATAGGTGTCAGGTGCTTTAATTATTGCACCTCCTCGTCTAATTCGTCCGTTTTGAAACCCGCGAGAATTAACACCTCCCACCGTAGGATCTAGCTGTAATCCAACGGCTTTCATCTTTCAACCTTTTAATCTTCCAAGGTATAAATTCTATACTTAGCGTATTTTTCAACTTTTTTCACCCTCGCCAATTTTGCCTTTCTCTGTACCCAGACGTCCTCTGCAAAAATTCTCGCTTCCTCGGCGATTTCTCCTGCGCTCTTCCGAACTTCTCTCGATTGTTGACCCCGGTTATGAGTAAGTCTCTCCACACTTGAATTTGTGCTTTTTGTAGTTATACTTTGTGCGTTCCTGAATTTTCAATATCGAGAGTACTCTCGATCTGTCTGCTGAGTTATTCTGAATTGGCGTGTCTTGTGTTAAATTTGTACTTTGAATACTCTCGTCTGCTTATTGGATGTTGCGGATTTTGTTTCTCCTCTGAAAATTTTTAAAATTTCCGCCCCCATACCTCTCGAGTTCTTCTTCTGGTTTTTGGATTGCCCTTCTCTGAAAACCCTAATTTTTCTTTTCTCCTCTTTCTTCCTTGCGTCGGCTTCTTTTTGATATTGCTCTTTTTTGTCTTTGTTTTGATTTTCTTTTCAGACTCTGAGACCTTCTCTGATTCGGCTGAAATACTGCCCTCTGCGCTCGAAGCTGTTCCCCTCTCTATCCTTCGCCCCGGCGATATAGTTCCTACCCGTGTTTTCACAGCCCGCAGCCGTCGACCTCCTCTCGGTGCGCTAGACGAGCCAGAGGAGGACGAGGTTATTTCTCCGCAGCCAACTGCTCCTCCCCCTTCAAATTCTCCACCTGAACAGTCCTCGACCAAAAAACTTTCAAGCGCTCATCTTCTACTTCCCTTTCTCATCCCTGGTTCAACCCTGAAAAAATCGGCCAGCCTCTAGGTTGGGCGTTCCTTAGATATTCTCCCTCAGATAAATACGATCGCCCTCCAGAGGGTTGTTACACTTTTTCGAGATTCAGTTCAAACTTGGTCTCCGCTTTCCCCTGAGTCCCGAGCTACTTCGCATTTGCGAGTGGTTCTCGCTCCCCCTGCATCAACTTCCTCCCAATGCTATCCGTTTCATGAACGTTTTCATTATTCTTTGCCATACCCGTTTGGGTCGATTTGATCTAGATTTCTTTCATTATTGCTATGGCCCTTCGAAACAAGGTCGGGGCCTTTACCTGAAAAGTCGTAATGTTGCCCATTTCATTAACGACATCCCTTCTAACCTCCCCAAGTGGAGCGATAAATTTATTTTTGTTCGACCTGGCGCCCCTTTCCCATGGCCTTCTATTCCCTGGGTCAAGGAAGTTTCACAAGAGGCGGCCTCGGCCCCTCCTTCGAACCATCTTTTCGACCAACAGATTCACACTTGGAATGCCAAGTCCGTTGAGTCTGAAAAACTTCTTTGTGATGAAAATCTTCTCCACTTCTGTGGTCTACTTACCCACAAAACCTTCTCTCCTCCTACTGAGGAGATTCTCAATCTTGTTCGCATTGACAACGATCCAGGTAATTCTTAACACAGTTGCTCGAATGTTTACTTGTATGCTCATGTTTCTGTCGAAGTGAAACACTGATATTTATCTTGGTTTCCCTGCTGTACTTGTGTAGAGGCTCCTAGTTTTAACATCCCCCTGAGGAAAGTTCCTCTGAAGAAGAAATCAGGGGCCGCCGCCGGATCGACCAGCGATAAGGTCGATGGCTC